TGAGCCTGGCATTGCCTAGTGTGTAGGCGCATCTCTCATTTTCTCCACCAGAGGGCAGTAACACCCCACAGCATCGCGGCCCCAACTAGCTCTAGGTGGTTGTTCCCAGGACAAAGGCCTCCCAGGGATCAGAGGTCTGCACACGGTCACCCCTTGCAGGAGCTGGCCCTTCCTTAAAGGGAGCAGCAAGAGTTCTTAGCTAATCTACGGTTCCTGGAGGCATCCAGGCCAGTGTCGGCAGCCCTTGGTGGAGAGCAGTTCTTGGAAACACAGCAAGGGGGCAGTGGCCCAGCCAGCCAGGGGAGACCAGGTGGGGGGCTGGGTTCTGATACCGGTACAGGAAAAAAAAAAAAAAAAAAAAAAAAGCCGTGTTGGAAGAGGGTGTTTGGACACCTGGTCTCCAGCTGCCCACGTAGTACCTGAGCCCACACCTCTCCTCTGGGCAGCTTGCTTGTTCACCTGCTCAATAAAGTAAATGTATGTTCTTTGTTCTCAGCTCCATGATGGGCAAATAATGCTGTCTCCCTCCTTAATCCACCCAAATCCCTTGACCAGCTTTTTGTAGCTCCAAGGAGCCTTGGCCAATCAAAGGGAAGCTTGTGTGGCAGTAAACCTGAAGGTGGGGCTTCCTGGGCCGTGTCACCAGCCCTCTGTGCTTTCCTGGTTTCCTTTCCTGGGCTCCTGGGTTGCTGCCTGCCGAGGGAGGCTGAAATTGCCACAGAACAACTCTCTCCCCACACATCACAGTACCCCACTAGGAGTGTCAAGGCTGACTGGACTGTGGCCGCTTATCAGGGGCTAAACCACTTGGCATTTCAGCGTTAGCTATAAGGAGGTACCATGGCAATGCCAGTCTCAGAGTTGCCCGGAGGACTAAGGCTGCATTGGGATCCCTGGCCAGTCGTGATAGCTTGGAAGTGGGGCATGATGACATAGCAGTGTAGGCAGAGAATCTAAAAAGAACTCAGTCAACAACCCAACAGAGAAAGGAGGGGCTCAAGGGCCCTTCACGAACAGTCTCTAAAAGCAACCATCTCTCTGCCGTTGGCCCGTTCTCGGTAAAGTCATCACAGACGGGATATGTGCCTGGGACCCTGAATGTCTCATGTGTTAGGACAAACATGAGTCCCTTGGCCTTGGGTCCTTGCTTTGCCTGAGTGGAAATCACCAAGTGTGACCACATCTCTACTTCTCCAGCTCCGAATTCTTCCTATACCCTGGCCAGGGCTCTCTACCACAGATCACCTTGACAGAGCATGACACACAATATGGGGCTCATTTACTGAGGGGGGCTATGGGACAGAAGCTCAGTGTCTGAGATGTCCCAGAAACATCCTCACATTCTTCCCAAGGTGGAATCAAAGTCCCCCAAGATACAAACACGGCTGTGAAGGGACAAGTGAAAGGGGCTCAGGCCACACAGCACAGGTAAGGAAGGAGCAGAGACCCAGCCTGGTGCAGGAGAGACCACAGAGGCAACGGGAGAATGGCTTGAGCCAGCTAGAGACTGAACCACGGAGAACGGATGGAGGGGTTGGAATGTGGGGTTTCTCCAGGAGCACCTTTAGACTTCGGGGGGCACAGTGTAAGTCAGAGTGTTAGCAGAGTGACACTGGGCGGGGGAGTCACAGTGTAGACATGGTGAAACCATCCCTGGGCCCTTCTGAAGCGTTTCGAGCCTACGGGGAAAAAGGGCTCCTGGATGTTTCCTTGTCTCTATCTGGAGCCTCTTACATCCTGCATCTCTTCCTCGGAGCATCTTTGAAAGCCTGCCACCCCCCTCTGGCTTCTGAATCCACAGAGCCATGCTGCTGTTGCTAACCTTGGCTCTCTTTGCTGGCCTCATGTGCAGAGTGCAGGGCGAACTTCCACACTTGGCTTTTGGAGGTTGGTCTGATGTGTGTCACTGGCCCTCAAGATCTGGTTACATCTATCCTTGTTTATCCTGCCTAAGACATACCTGACTGGTTGATTAAATGGCCTCTACCTGGGCATGGCAGAATGGGGTAGATGTGGCTACGGTTCCCGGCTTCCAGGACAGGAGAGTCATGGGAGACTGACAGACAGGAGCTGAGGAAGGCAGACACTACGATGGGTTAGCATGGAGAAGAAACCCTGCGGGAGAGGAGGAAGGACTCCAATAATGGCATGAAAAGACCCAGATAAAGAATACAAGCAAGTACCATGGGGTATGGATGGAAGGTGGACCAGATGAGGAGGATTAGGGTGGATGGCATTGGATGGGGGCTGGGAGATGGATGGTGAGGTTATTGAGCCAGTATAAGTGAAATATCTGCCCAGCCCAAGGTAAATTAAGGCAATTATAAACTCTAACAGGGGTCTGTGTTTTACTATTTGTGATAGCAGGTTAAATAATACCACCGTGATAATCACAGGGGTAAGAAATATAACCCAACACATTTTTTTTTTTTATATTTACTACAACACTTGGTGTGTAACCTTCATCTCCCTTGTCCTGGTTTAGGCAAAAGGACCTCTGGAGGTGAAGGACTGGTTCTGGGCACTCTCCCAATGCCTGCCCCTCAGTCTCCCTTTCTTCAGAGATGTAGAACAATAATTAATATGTCCTTATCCTGCACCGAGGAGACAGTTCACTGAGTGAAAACGCTTGCTGTGTAAGTGTGAGGCCCTAAGTTTGGGTTCCCAGCACCCACATAAAAGATGGTACACCCTTAACCCCAGAGACAAAGTCCTGTGGGACCACTGGCCAGGTTCCAGCCCAGGTAGAAAGCTCCAATCCAGCGATCTGACCTCGAACAATAAGGCGGGCAGCTGGTGAGGTGGCCCTGTGAGTAAGAGCCCCTGCTCCACAAGCCTGAATGCCTGAGTGGGGATGCCCAGTGCCCAGGTTAAAAACATCCCAAATGGCTGTGAGCATCTGTAACCTCACTATGGGGCAAGGCAGGCAGATCCCAAGAACACCCTGGCCTGCCCTGGCAAAGAGCTGGAAACTCAGAGAGAGACACATCTCCAGGCAATGAGGTAGCTAGAGATGAAAGAAGACACTCAGTGTCCTGCTCTGGCCCCTGCATGCATATGTAGCATACACATGTGCATGCGCACTTCAGTAACGGCAACAGAAGCACATTTTATTTCGATGCTGTGACTGCAGTCTTCAGCTTTGTGAGACAGGCTCTCAGGCTGGCCTTAAGACTGAAACTGGGCCATCTCATCCTCTCAGGTGCTGGAGATTCCAGGCTGGCACTCAGCTACCGCCATATTTTAAAAAGAAAATGTTTGGAGCCTGGCTTGTAATCCCAGTCCAGCCCTATAATCCCGGGAAGCTGGGTCAAGAAGATCACAAATTCAAGACCAGTCTGGCTACAGAGTCTCTTCAAGGTCAAGCTGGACAACTTAGTGGAACTGTGTCTCAAAATGAGAAGCTAAAAGAGGATTGGAACCTGACCTAGTGCACTTAATGCCAGGACTCAGGAGGCTGTGGCAAGAGGATTTCCACCATGAAAAAGTTCAAGGCCAACCTAAGTTACAGAGTGAGATCGACATGGATAGATAGATAGATGATAGATAGATAGATAGATAGATAGATAGATGATAGATAGATAGATAGATAGATAGATAGATAGATAGATAGATAAAGAGAGATAGAATGTGTCAAGCTCTACTAAACTCTCAGAATTATTAAATAAGTAGGTGATGGCCTGGGATGGCTCAGCAGGCAGGGGGCTTGCTCCTAAGCCTGGTAGCAGAGGTCGATACCTGAGCCTACATGATGGATAGAGAGAACTAACATCAGCAAGTTATCCTGTGACCCCCACAAGCATGTCATGGCGCAAATGTGCTCCCCCACCATACAATAAACAAATGCCCAAACGTAAACAAACACACAAGCAAATGTTTGAGTTATACTCACACAGAAGAATTCTGCAGTGTTTATCTAAACTCCAAATTGAATTGAATATCCTCCCTATATTTCATATGGAGGCTGAATTAGGAAGTAGCTTAGTGAGTAAGAGCAAAAAACAAAACAAAAACAAAACCTAGGGTTAGGAATAGGCTAGGAGACTTGGAGAGGGGACTTCTCTTTGCAGAACAGGTGTCAGGGCCTCTGCTTACACCTGACAACACCAGGCTGAGTGGATCCTGCCTTGCTGGCCTCAGTGTGGCTGGGCTTCGTTTGGGGAACACAAGGGATGAGGCTCCAGAGGGGAAACTGAGCTATGCAGAGCCTGCAAAAGATTCAAGCTCAGGATGGGTGCTGTGGCAGACTTGGCCATCCTGGCACAACTGCCCAACCTGGGGCCGGACTTTCTGGGGACCCCCGGGAGGAGGCATGTGTCCCAGAGAGGTGGATGCAGAAAGAATCTGTGGGTGCCAAGGCCAGGCTGACTTGGCAGGGCTAAAGCACTTGGCATCTCATTGTCTTTAGCTGTAAAATGGGCACCTGAGCGATGCCAGCCTCAGAGCTGCCTGGGGGACCAAGGCTGTGTTGAGAACTCTAGCTGCCCAGGTGATGGGAGCGGCCATGAGTAGAGTTTGGAAGGAGCAGGCAGAAGGCAGTTGTTTTAAGTGAAGACTCTGAAAAGATCTCCCATAACAAGAGTGAGGGAGGTAGGAATTATGCCTGCATGTTCTCCAAGTCCAGGCCTGCCCCACCCTTCTGGGTGAAGCCATGGGCAGACTGTGACTGCTCTCCCCTCACATGTGCTCATGACTCTGCATGTTTCATTTGCTTGAGACAAACATGTTCCCTGGCTTTGGGTATCTGCTTTGCCAGGACCTATGGAAATCACCAAGTGTGACCACGTTCTCCCTCTTTGAGCTCCAAAACCTTCCTGCGAGCCAGTGGGATTCAACAGGATCCTTCCTGAATTTGCAGAGGATGGCATGGACTGTGGAGTTCATTTGTTCAAAGGCAGCAGAGAGGAACACAAACAGTGTCCAAGGATGTCCTGGATATTTCCACACATTCTTGCAGGAAACCTTGCCAAGGGCGGGAACACGGAGGTCCCACCGAGGCTATGGCTGAGTGGCATCAGGGTATAAAGGGACAAGCCAAGGAGCTCAGGCCACACAGCACAGGTAAGGAAGGAGCAGAGACCCAGCCTGGTGCCGGAGGACAAGATACAAGAGGAAAGGGAGAATGGCTTGAGCCATTCTAGAGGCTGGACCATGGATGGATGGATGGATGGATGGATGGATGGATGGATGGATGGATAGATGGATGGATGGTTTGGAATATGGGGTTTCTCCAGGAGCACCTTTAGACTTTGGGGAGCACAGTGTAATATGATAACAGGAGGTGTCTTGCTCAGAGCTTAGTCAGAATGTTAGCACGGTGGCGTTTTGGGGGTCACAGTGTGGACTTGTGGGTGAAACCATCCCTGGGCTCTTCTGAGCCTTTGAGTCTATGGAGAAAAGGATTCCCGAATGTTCCCCTGTCTCAGTCTGGGGTGTGGGGATCCCTTATACCTGATGTCTTTCCCTCAGAGCCTCTCTGAAGTTCTTGCTACCCCCCTGCGGCTTCTAAGCATCAGACTTGTGCCCCAAACCCTCAGCAGCCATGCTGCTGTTGGTGACATTGGCTCTTCTAGCCAGTTCCACCTGCGGAGCCCAGAGTGAGTACCTGAGCCTCCTTTGTGGCATTCACCTCCTGAATGCTGTCCTGGGTGTAAGGGTCTCTGAGTGAGGGAGTGCTCCTGAGCACTCTCCTACTGCCTCCCCTTTCCAGACAATAAGTATTTCTACATTCGTGGTGAAGATCAGGGGGAGCTCAGAGGTGTCCGGGTCTTCTTAGGTCATATGTCTGCCATCAATGGGTGAGTAGAACTCTGTTTCCAGAAACTTCCTTGCATGCTCCCAGGTTGCCCCCACCTCCCATGGCTTATCACCTGGAGCTCTTAGAGGATTTCCTGGCTCCACACCTCTAATATTACCCAGCATTCTCTTGGCCTCTACTTGATCTAAACTAGCCAACTTGGGGCTGGAATGCCCAGGCTTGGGTAAGACTGGACAGTCCTCAGGGGGGCCGGTGGAGAGGGACCTCTGACTTCCTAATTCAGAAAGGACCAAAGAGGCTTCAAGGGCCCCTCCTCCAGGTAGCTCTGGAGGCCTAAGCGCCCCTTGGTAGTGACAGAAACTGCTCACACGGTCTGAGAGACATCCTTGTCTTCACAAGACATGAAATGTGCTGCTGACTCAGCCACTCTGGACCTTTCCTCTGCTCCAGAAGGGGCAGCCATTCCCTCGGGACAGGCAGGTCTTGACTATCCTCACCACTCTCTGCCTCTTGAGAGCTGTTGTTCTCCCAGAGCGTCGTCAAGACCTTGTGCTACTATTGCCAAGCTTGGTAAAAGCAAGCACGGTCCCCAAATTCACAGAATTTCAGATGAACATGAATAGTCTCTTAGTGTGTGTCCTGGGTGACATTGAGGTTATCTCAGTCCTTCAAACATTTGATGTTGGGCCACTGGGGAGAAGGCCCAGTGGATGAAGTGTCTGCCATGCAAGCATGAGGCCTTAAGTTTGGATCCTCAGAAGCCATGTGACAGCCGAGAGCAGCAGCCTGGGTCTGTAACCCTAAATCTGTGGAGCAGAGATGCGGGAGCCTGCCAGGCTGGCTGGCCAGAATCTTACCCAAAGGGCAACTCCAGGTTCCCCTGGAGACTCTGCCTAGAAAACTGAGGAGGCCTGCCTGGGAAAATGGCAGGGAACGCAGGAAAGAGCACTTGCTGTGCCCATGTGAAGACCCAGGGCCAGCTTCTCAGAACCTGTATAAAAGGAAAGCTAGCCTGGAAGGGGGGAGGTGGTGGGACGGAGGGGCCCAGTGGGGAAGCCCTGGAGGCAGGGACAGCAAGAACCCAGGGGCTCTGGGCCCAGCTGCAACACTGAGCTTTCACACAGGGAGAAACCCTGTCTCCAGGCAATAAGGCAGATAGCCACAGAGGAAGGGATCTCACACACATGCATCACAGATCGGCAGACAGACACACGCACACATAGATAGACACACATGCACGCACATACCCAGGTGGAGAGTGATTGAGGAAGACACACACAACGGCACGCACACATCGCCTGCATTTACAATTCACTACTGACAACACAGATATGCTGGGTTTTCTTCCTGGTTAAAATGCTGGGGGTTGAATCCCAAGATATACCACTGTGTTTTGTCTGTAGCCTTCAGTTTTGTGTGACAGGACCTCACTGTGTATCCCAGGCTGGCCCTAAGCTTGGAATCCTCCCACCTCATCCTCACAACTGCTGGAGAGTATGCAGATTTACTTTAAAAGTGTAATATTGGCGCCCGGCCCGGTGGCCCACTTCTGTATTCTCAGCTACCCAGACGGCAGATGTTAGAGGATAGCAAAGATGAGGCCAGTTTGTGCTACAGAGTCACTTCAAGGCCAACCTGGCCAACTTAGTAAAACCCTGTCTCAGAAGAGAAAGCAAAGATAGGGCCAGAGCCCAGCATGGTGGCCTGTGCCAATAATGTCCGAACCCAGGAGACTGAGGCAGGAGAATGTCCATCATCAAGAAGTTCAAGAAGATTCTGGCTACAGTGAGATCCTGTCTCAAAGCAAATAAATAAACAAAGCAAAGATCAAAGGAAAAAAGAGAGAGGCGAGGCAGAGTTGGGGTATGGCGAGATGAGACTGGGAATACCTTAGTGGTTTGTCTAGTATGTGTGAGCCGCAGGTTCGATCCCCAGTGCCGATAAAAGAGTGGCAAGATGACCCTGTAGGTGACAGTCTCTGCGTCCTCACCTGGATGCCTGAATTTGATCAACCTAAGCCAAATGGTAGAAGGAGAGAATCAATTCCCTGCAGTTTTCCTTTGACCTCTATAAGGGTCACAGCACACATGAGCCCACATAGACAGAGAGACAGACACACACACACACACACGAAATAAATGTCAAAGGGTGAGTAAATAAACTATGCAGTGCTTGAGGTATAGTTACACAGAAATTAGTAACTGATTATCTGAATTATTTCTAGAGGCCTATTTGGGATTCATCTTTGCAAGCAAGAGAAGAAAGAGGCCGGGGTTAGGAACAGTCTAGAAAACTTGGGGTGCACTTTCCTTCTTTGCTTAGTAGGACAGCTGCCGGAGCTCCTGCTCCCACCTGACAACCCCGAGGGAGAAGATCTGGTCTCACTGGTCTCTGTCCCCCAGAACCACCTGCCCTTAAGTGAAGGGCCATCTCTGGTCTGCTGGCCTCAGCAAAGGGTCTCAGTGTGGCCACCAACTTCCAGAGGGCCTTCTCTTTGGGGGAAGACCCCAAAAGATCCAGGCTCAGGATGGGCTTCAGTGGGAGAGCTGGCTGCACAGACGTCTGACCTGGGGCCAGTCTCTCTGATGACTCATGGGGAGGGGTGTGTCCTGAAGAGGCAGAGGTGCGAAGGAGCAGCTGTGGGCTGCAGGCCAGGCTGGCAAGTCAGAGCATAGTGTGACACATCTTCTGGGGGCTGAAGTGAAGCTGGGAACTAGGATAGGGCACAGCTTTGGGAAAAGGCTGACCCTCCTATGCATGACATGCTCTCTTCCCAGCATTCAGCTGCTGATTGGTGAGGAGTGGAGTTTAGTCTATGGATCTCCAACACGAAAAGAGCAGACGTTCCTGCTGAAGAACGGTGAGCACGTGATTGCAGCGGAGACTAATAACGGCCTCTGTATCCGGTACCTGGGGCTGTGGACCAATTACAGACGTAGGGCCACTTTGGGTATGAGGAAAGGCTTTTTCCTCAGAGACCCTGGGCATCCCGGCAAGCATCTACTAACTATGGATGGCAAGTACCTTCCTGGTTACTGTATCACTGAGCTGGGCTTCAAGTGGGGACATGGTCCAGAGGATCTAACCTCGGAGACGCCAGAACAGCCGAGTCCAGACATTTCCAAAGAGGAAGACAAAGATGAAAAAGATGCAAGCAATGGTGAAGATGGAGATAAAGATGGTGAAGATGGAGATAAAGGAGGTGAAGAAGCTGTTAACCATGACAAGGAAGCTGATAAAGGAGGTGAAGAAGCTGTTAACCATGACAAGGAAGCTGATAAAGGAGGTGAAGAAGCTGTTAACCATGACAACAAGGAAGCTGATAAGAGTGATAAAGATGAGAGCAATGAGGAAGCCAACCCCAGTGACAACAAGAAAGCCTGTGAAGATGGCAGTGAGGACAACAGTGACCAAAACAAAGACAATGAGGAAGCCTCTAACGATGGCAGTGAGGAAGCTGAGAAAGATGACCAAAAGGACAACGATAAGGAAGATGAAGGCGACGAAGGAGCTGATAACGAGGACAGCAAGGAAACCTGTAAAGATGGCAGTGAGGACAAAAGTAACTAAGGTAGAGGCAGGGAGGACTATTAGCACCAGGGCGCTCAGAGCTCTGTCCTGTATCCCCACAATGCACCACCTCCTCTCAGCCAAGTGCACCCACCTGGAGGGACCAATATACCAGGTGACCCTGGGCCGGGGGAGGCAAAGCCCTAATGGCCTGTAGTGCTGTGTTCAATAAACTATGTGCATGTATGTGAGCCTGTGTGGTCCTTGTCACCAAATGGAATGGGCTTGCGATTCCCCAAGAACCTCCTTTTCTTCCCCACTTTTTTGGAACTTAGAGTTTGCACAGAAAGAACCGTGGTCAACTCATCAGGACCAAGGTCCCTAGAATGAGGGCAGCATCCAGCCACTTCCTGTCCCAAAGCAGCATGGGCCTGCAAGGAGAGCTCAGTGTGTGCTGACTGGGCCGGCAGGGACTGGCTTTGCAGTGGTCCCGGTTAGCTCTATTTGAGCAGGTATCATTGCCTCCTGCTCCTCCAGCCTCCTCCTCCCTTCCCCTCTCCCGTCCTCTTCACTATCCTCTCATGTAGCTGGGCTGGCTGTGTAAACAGTAAGTTGTTACAGTTCAGATTTCCTGTGAGGTACTCTCAGAGTTACAGATAGGCAGGAGGAAGGAGCCCCTCTCTCCTTAGCTGACAAGTCTGTTGGAAAGTTAGAGGCACTCTGTAACTCAGAAAAGGGGCCATCTCAAGCCCCACATTGCTCATTAGGTAAGACTCTGTGTGTTAGATCTATTAATAAAAGATGAGGCTTGCAACGGATCTTTTATGCAAGAGGTTTATTAGGTAGATATGGAGGGAGGTAAGGGAGAGCAGGACATGATGGGGAGAAAAAGGGAGGGTGCCCCGACAGAGAAAGAACCAACAGAGAGAAAGAGGGCAAGAGGGCAAGAGAGAGACGCTGGTCCCTTTAAGGGGCAAGGTAACCATGCCTTCCAAGTGTGGCCACCTGGCCGGTGACACACCATGACATCATAAGTTGCTAGGTAACCCAGAAGCAAGTTTTGTTCCAAAATACTAACATTCCTCCCTTTTTCTATAACTAAAAAATGAGGAACTTGGGCTGCTTTTTATAAGGTAAGTTAAAGTATATAAATTTAGGTTCATTGGAAGCAGCTCTTGATTGTCATGCAAGGGGTTAAGAGAGAGAGAAGAATTATAGCAACAAAATGGTCAGATTACAAGATCAAGAGTAAGGGAAGCCTCTGCCCTGGAAAACTTAGGGTAGAGGGTTGTCAGTAGAGAGTTGCCAGCCATGCAAGGCAGCAGGCAGAGACTGGGGAATGCTGGGAGAACCTGGAGCTGCTTGTCCTGGTCCTGAAGCACACCATTTCAGCCCTTTGTTAATAATAAGTGAATAACAGGCATAGATTTTCTTCTGGCTACTTCCTGCTGACACGGGGGGCGCTGTAGGGAGGTCAAAAGGCTGAAATGTTGGCCAAGTCCAGGAAGGAAAGGCTGTTTTGATGCTGTCCAGGGTCTGTAAGAACATCCATGGCTGGGAGGGAAGGTGCAGGTCTAGCTTGTTGGAAGTCTGTGAGGTCAGAGTTGAACACTTGTAGCTGCTTTGGCGCTGTTGTGGCTATAGGAAACATCTGTGTCTGGCAGGACACTGAAACACATATATAGGCAAAAGATAAAGTTAAGTATGTTATGGAGAAAATCCTTTAGGTATACATTGAAAACTTTTGGGAGAGCAAACAGAGGTGGAAGGTTTGCATCAATGAGACTTGAACATGGGAACCTCTGTCTCCCTGGGGGGACCTTTATTTACCCAATCACTGGCAGTAGTTAAAAAGGCTTTGTTTTGAATCTGTCTTTGAGAGGAGGTTTGATTACAGAAGTGTGTAAACTTAGAGGCCCCAGTGCTAGCTGACACTAGGTGTAGAAACTTGAAATTCTCCAGAAGACATCCTATCTGGAGGAACGGCCATCTGGGCCTTTCCCATTGGGAGGCAGAGAAGTCGGGGACCTTCCAAAGGCGTCCCAAAGGCAACGTGTGACTCGAGCAGAGGTTCTACCTGGTCCAATAGCTTGTCAGCTTTTGGCCAGAGACCGGGGCGCGGATGCCCAGCAGGGCACAGCCAAGGCACAGATGCCCAGCAGGGCATGGCCAAGGGCATGACAGTTTGCCTAGTGCTAGGTCTTCCCACGAGCGAGAGAGGGGGAGAAGGAACCATGTGCGAGTGGGGACGTACCGCTCAAGGGAGAGTGGGGCCCAAAAATGGAGGTCAGCAGAGAGGGTCAACCCTAGACAGTTAAGGATATGGCTGGGGGGGGGTCCCTCCATCTCAAAAGATAGTACGAAGTCACTGGAGCTCAGAGGTCAAGTTTCCCCTACCAAGAGAGACGTTTTATGCTGAAAAATGGAGTGAACTCACCAATCTAGTAGCTGGTCAATAAGGAAAACTCACCAATCCAGCCAGTGTTGTATGCATTAAATAGCAGTCTGGTAGCCAGGAAAGGAAGTCCCAAAACCGGGGAAAGGGGAGGAGTCCCACCTTTTGAGATAGGCGATAAGTGCAGTACTTATCTGGAGTCCAATTGACCTGAGAGGTAGACTTTCTGCAGCTTACAAGAATTACTTTTAAGTTTTAAGAAGGAGATAAAACTTTAGACATGTTAGTATCACAATTGTACTCTGCACTGAAATATACATTGTAGAAAAAGCAGTAGACATACATATTTGTGTTAATAGCGTAAGTATTTTTTAAGGTGAGCTCTGGAAAGGCAAAAGCCTTTTATGAGGTAAAAGGGAAACTCATTTGATCTTAACTTTTAGTATAAGCATACACATTATGGAGGCTTACAGTCTTGAGCTTAGAACCATAATAGTATGTGGTGTAGTGGAAAGTTTTTGTATTGGAGTCAGATTAATAAATTAGAGCTCTATTGGTAAAAGTCAAGCTCTGGACAGTCAATACAACAGTAGCATAGCAACAGGAGAAAATATTAAGCCTTTCTACCTATTTAAGATACCTTCAATCACCTTAGACCTTATAACCTTTATAACTTGCATTTACCAACCTTAAAGCACTTTCTTAGACCCTCAAACATTTATAACTTGCATTTATTAACCTTAAGACACTTTTTTAGACTCTCAATTATGTATAACTTACGTTTACCAATCTTAAGGCATTTTTTTAGAATCTCAAACATATATAACTTGTATTTATGTTAGCATTACCACCCTTTGCAATCTGTACTGAAAGCCACGTTGTAGAGGAGGAAGTGGACTAAGGCCTTTGAGTTACTGTAGTAAAAGCCTGGGGACCCCAAAATGATTCTGGGTTATAAACACGAACACTCCCCTACCAGGAAGATGTGGTATAGATTATGCAGATGTCTTTAGCACAATGAGAAGCATTTTACTTAAAAGACAACCAAAGAAAATTTAAAATCTTGGGCTTGTGATTATGCTAATAGTAGTCAGTGTTTTACCAGAGCTAGATTAATAGCTTATCAGAGCTCCATTGATTAATGTTAAAATTCTGAACTTTTGAAGTCTTAGTATGACAACAGCATAGAGAGGGAAGGACATCTGAAACATTTTTCATTTTTACATATGTCTTAAATGACTTTTTAATACTTTGACAAATGCATTTACACATCTTAAAACATTTTCTTTGACCTTCCCGGTGCCACGGACCAGCCCAGTGGGGTTCCCCGAGTTCACGAAAGAATCAGAGGTTTGGGTATCAGGAAGGCACGGTTTCAGGCGAATGACAGTCAGAGGCCACACCGAAGAGTGATTTAAATTCTGCTGCAATTTTACTGAAGTCAGGCTAATAATTTTATAATAATTACATAGGGAAACACATTAAAGTTGGCATACTTCCCAGAACACTTAGATTTTTACCAAGAATACAAAGTTTACATTTTAACTCAAAAGTGTAGCCAAACATAAAGCAGTGCCCACAAGAAATCTTGGCCTCAGAACTTTTTGATCAAAGCAAACAAAGGACAAAAAAAACCCTCAAACTGCAGTTTCATTATTGCTAACCAGTGAAGAGGAAAGTCAGGAGCTAAGTCAGATGCCTGCCAAAGTCTTTCTCTGCATCAAAGTTTAAATACACCTTTGTTAACTGTCCTCCCATATGCCTTGCTAAAGATTTATAATCTTCCTTAGAAACAGGATGCCAAAGGGAGGCATGCTTGAGCCAGCTGTACTTTCTCATGCTATCTTTTCCTAAGAAGGAGCCCATTGTTTTTTTACTATTCTTATAATGCTTTTAATACTAAATCTAATTCATTAATTCTCTTAAAATTATTTTTCTTTCGTTCTATTCTTATTAAAGCTTATAGTAATCTATAAAAAATGTTTCCCTGAATAGTTAATTGTGCTATTCCAAGAATCATAGAAAAAGATTTAAAAAACTCATTAATCCAGCCCCACAACCGCGACCGAAAAAGTGTAGAGACCCTAGAATACGTCTTTTTAACTTAGGTGGTCGGGGACACACTTGCTAGGGACCTCCAGAGAACGTATTTCCGAAGAAAGCGTATCTCCCGCCCAGTAGCACAATCTATTGATATGCTACACTGGCGATACTGGAGTGGGTGTAGCATCCCGGCTTAAGCTTTTCCCATCCAATCATTTACCATGAGGCACAGGTGGTTAATGCCTTAGAGCAGTCATTGTGAATTGAGTCCCTTTAAATAAAAGAATAGAAAAAAACACATTATATTGAAACCCGTTTTGTGAGTTTATTTCTTTTTAAAGGCTGGCAGCAAGGTAAATTTTGTTTAGACCCAGTAGTCACTATGGGAAAGGGAGGCCTGTGGCCTGGATTTTACGTGTGAGGAGAACTGAGGAGGCATCTGAAGCCTTGATTTCTGCTGTTAAACTGACAAGACTATCGCTAGCCTGGTCCTCAATGCCATCAGAGACCTGAGGAGGATGAATTTTACCTGAGTAAAAGCAGGAACTACAGACCAAGGAGCTCACAATCTATTAAAAATGACAGAGACTTACTGGTTACCTGAACAATCACCCTAGATTTC